GTTATAATAGCTAATGCCACGGGTAAATGTAACGTTTGCAATTGAGAATTTTCGTGGATCACGACGCAACTTGGCTCCGCCGGTGTCTCTTATCTCTATTAATTACAAGTTCTAAATTAGAATTGTAATTAATTAGAAAGCAATGCGATGGGGGCAGCTAGGCGGGAAGTGCAGGATAAACGTTGCGCTGTTAAAATTAGAATGGTGGAATGTTCGCGTCGTAATTGTGGTGATGGTAACAGTATCGCATAGCGAGCTTTGTAAGTAATTGACCGCGTGTACATACGTGTGTCTTGTAACTAATTTCACTAATACTAACCCCTTTTTCTCTTTTCAGACATGTCCTACAAGCCGCGCCATCCCATTATCGAGGGTAAGTATTTTCAGTCATAATACACACGTAATACTAATGGTGCGCCAATCTAAATCGCGGGTAGCTTCTCATTCATTTGCAGCTCGACACATAGCTTTGCCGCAAACGCACGCTACGATAATATTGATTTTCCAAACGAAAGATCGCAGAGACAATTCCGTACTTACCCGGTACTTTCGGGCAACCCGTCAGCTTTTCGTTAATACTCAGTATTAAGCAATTGCGATATGTCACACTTCAAAATCACGAAGTATTGTTGTACGCGAGGACTCACGTACCACTGGAGATTGTTCGTTCTTCGAAACCACATTGCGTCACATTTGTAATATATTTAGCTTGAAATCTATTCGCGTATCGTAGAAAAAATACTACGGGTTAAACGCTGCACTTCTGGGAAAGAAAAGACAGTTAACAACCCATTTTGGGGCCTGCAATTAGCAATCGAATTATTTGGATTGTTCGTAACTCTACTCTGGGAAAAATTTTGACCGTCTTTTTTTGTAGTTAAGCAACTCAACATTTCGGTTAGTGCCTCTTACGTGAAAAGTATCTTTGCGTTACTGAATATCGACAGAACTAATTGAGAGAATTGATTAGTATTACTTCAAAATCGAGGGAGGAACCGCTGAGGGCATTGTGGTGTACAGATTTGCGGCATTACTGGACATTACATAGGCATTTTTGGGCATTAATAAGGCATTAGGTCTTGCTGGGGTATTACAAAGATAAAATAAGATAAAATAAAATACAAAAAGATAAAATAAGATAAAACAAGATAAATAAAATAAAATAAGGTAATAAGATAAAGTAATGCCCACTGGACATTAGTGAGCATTGATGTACAAGATTTTGGTCAGCGATTTCCCCCTCGTTCAAAATCTTGGATGTAGATAGAATAGCTAATTGCGATTTTTAGTTACGCGGGGTAAAATTCGTAACAGATTAGAGTTACGAACAATCCAAATAATTCGATTACTAATTGTGGGCTCCATTATGGGTTGCTATCTTTTTTTCCCCAGAGATGATGCATATCCACTACAAAGACAAAAGCGGGCGAACAAAATCGGTGATTTCCACTTGGTCGGTAATGCGAGCCCGCGCGCGAGCAGAATTCGCCGATACGCTTTTGCAAAACGAGGCGGACTTCCTGGCGAAATCGCAGATTTAGATAGCCTGACACGCGACGTTCGGCGACGTGTTATTCCGAAGAATAACCGGACGGGAATGCGGGCCGAATGTTGCCTCTCAAACGACCGACGGCGCGGGCTCAATTACACGGAACGCGCGCGTGTGGCCCCGCGTACCGTGAAATTGCGTTATCGTCGCCAAAACGATCACGATAACGCGCGTATTTCGCGCCCGCGTCCCGCAACACCGCGGCTCTTAAAGGATACATTTTTCGCCACTCCGGCGCGCGGCACGCCCGCGCCTCTTAACGACGTTTAATTCATCTAGTTATCCCGCGCGAGTAATTATAATCCCATCATCGTTCGCGAGACGCGATCGGGGAGAACGGCCGTAATCTCGATAAAGTGTGGCAACGGTTTTTAACACACTAAAACTTCCCGGGTACGAATTTCATTGCGCGTCGCGCAATATTCCAAGTTCTGCAGAATATATGTACATATATACATATAAGAAAAAAAGGAAAGTTGTGAAATACAGCGTTTTAGGAGAAGGGCTCCTTTTGCGATATTAAAGGCCGCTCTTGACTGTGCGTTCAGGTCTCTGAAAAGAGCTCGGCTCTTTCGTAATTTCCGTCGGTGTTCGACTCGGTTGCGAGAAATTATAGAGGCATCATCCGCAAAATGAGGATGGCACCGTGAACGGCGAGATATCAGAATTCTCGATGGCGAGAGATCGCGTACCCGATTGCTTCTCTCTCTCTCATCCTCTCTTCCGTATTTTATACGCGCGCGTGGTGCTGTACACACGCGTGTATATTTGAATAAAATACAAGCGCAAACAATCCTTAGTAAAACATAACACACTGGAAAATTTCTCGCTCCCTACCGATGTTCCCGCCAGCGCCCCCGCTCTCCCCGCGGCGATGAACGTGCATCGCATACGTAGATATTGACACAGTCTACTTGGTATTTCCGTGCTCGCCTCCCCGCGCCTTATTTTTCCTAGTCACCGCCGTGGTAATCCCAAGCGGGCGCAACCCCGCTTCCAGGCATCTTCGGGCTCTCCAAACACGAAATTGCCCATCAGATCCTCGCAGGAGGGTATCGCGGGTAACCACCCTCCGCGAGCCTTTCTCCTGTCCCCGGGATCCTGTCGCGCATCTTGCCCTTCCCCCTCGCGACTCACCCGGGGATTGCTACAGTTCGGACTATCCTCGTTACCGTGGTTACTCTCGTTACCGTGCCTACTCCAGTTACCGTGTCTACTCTCGTTACCGTTGGCCAACTCTCTCGTCGGCCGAGATCCGTGATACCGCTCGTGCGGGATGTGCCGAAATCATCGTCGCTGTTTTTTTCCCCCCCGTTCTCTCGCACTTTCAATCCGGAATTCGGCGAACCTCCGAATTTTTCCCACAAACACGGCGTATCAAGACTTGCGAGAGACGGAAATTCTGTCCCGAGGACCTGAGCGATCGGCAACGCTTTGTTGCTACGCGAAACCTAATGACCTAATGACTATCCTGCGGCGAAGAAGTATCTAATTGATCGTTCGAACCACTGGGGCTCGTTCGATTTTTCCTTTTAATTTCGGAACGTCTTGGTAATTAACTCTCAGATTCAATTTCAATTCCAGTAGGGCTCACTTTACGCGATTTAAATAATCAGCTTCCGCTCCTTAATTACATTCTTGCAGCTTCACATTCATCGGAAATCTCTTCCTCCCTCTCTTTCTGCCTACCAATTCACTTGTCTACCTCTCTTTAATGCGCTGAATAATAAAAATATTTTTTAAATCTTCAAGTGAAAAAATACAATTAGGGAATTAGACAAATAATATTCTTCTGTCTGTCTAATAGACAGCCGAATAGAATTCTAATCATTATCATGCGGTAATTTCGGTCAGTTTAATGATCGTATCTGCAAGAATAGCGTCTATTAAAATAGTTTGAAACCTTATATACTGCTGGTAATTAATATCGATTTTGCTATCGTTTGCAAGACTCGCCTGGATGAATGCTACTAAATAT